GGTCTCTCCGCATGCCGGACATCATTCGGCACATCCTCATTCAACCTACTCAAGTAGGAGTTCAACCTGCTGCAGTAGCCGGAGCGAAGTTGTGCGTGTCTCCCGAGGCAGATGAAGCTCCGTCTCGTCAATGTCCGGGGGTGGTGTGCCTAGAACGGCATTCACAGTCCGGTTAAATAGGACTGCTTTATCCATCACATGTTATATGAATGTCCAAAACGTCGATGATGTTTCACCGGCACGTAGTGATAACCAGACATTGAACAACCGCCCTTATAATCAAAACCCTTCCCCCAATTATTTTTTTCGTGTCGAATTTCACTAAAATTTTCCCAAAATAATTTTATGGTGAAAAACTGTCTATTCGAATAATTTCGGTTAGTCGATTTTCAGACTACCCGATAGTGAGCGGATAGTCTATTTTTAAAGAGATCTAGCTTGTAAATAACTAAATCAAGGCTATTCAAAATTTGTATATTAAAGTGCAAATCGAAATGCATCTACAAATGCTTGTAGAAACTACATTTACAAGTGTAAAATATTTCGCTGATAGCTACAAGTGTATAATATAATATTGTTACAAAAAATTATAGAACTTGTAGCTACACTAATAATTTGTAAGACTTGGTACAATTGTGAACTTTGTGTTACAGGCCCCAGTTCTCTTATTGCCGGCAACAAAAATTGTCTGGAGCGTGTCTACAAGTATGTTAAGTTTTTTTTATTCGAATCACGCGTTTGGGCACAGTAACCCAAAATCGTCCAAATAAATAAACCATACCCCCATTAGGCGAAGTTTCAGGCCTGGCGTAAACGGCCTTTCAGTCAAGATTTGACTCATCTAATCTCCTCATGTAAACATTATAATATATTCACTAAAATATCCCTTTTATAGTTGTATCCATTTAATTTGTTAAAGGTAATACAAAACGAACAGCCAACGAACTTAAGTCTATTCGTTCTCCTGTGATCGCAAGCGACTATTTGGATTTGTAAGACGAATTGACAGTTGCTTGGCGCGTTCAACAATTTCCTTCCGTTTCTTGGATGATACACCATGAGCGATTTCACCGCAGTATTCGCGATTTTGCATTAACAGCACTTCTAATTCTCGGACGTTGTGCACTAAGAATTTCTTGAAGCCAGTTGGCAGCATATGACGAGTGCGTTTGTTTGAACCATAACCAATGTTTGGCATGAGGTACTGGCCCTTGAAACGGCGACGTACCCTGTTGTCTATACCCTTTGGTTTACGCCATTTGTGCTACGTAAAAGAATTGCTTTAGCATTTATTATTTTAAATTCGTATTTTCATACCGATAGTTTCGCATAGCGATCCGACTGATGGCGAATGAAGTGTTTGGTGCGCTTCTTCACAATTTTCGGTCTGTATGCGGGGCGAATCGTCATCTTAACACTGTGAAGAGAATTTCAAGTTTAGTATCAGCGACGAATTTGTTTATACTGACAAATTTTTAGCATTTGTCAATTTTATGACAAGATTTACACACATAAAACATTGTGATATATAGAAACTTGAAAATGTGTATGATAATTTATTTAGATGGGGATGTTATATATATTCTAGGATTTTATTAGAAATTACACACCGAATTTTCTAAAAGAGCACGTCAAAAAGAAAGAATAGCGAAGTTGGCTGAAGTTTGTGCAATTTTGACATCAGGTTCAGTGCTTCCAAATTACAAGATAGTTGCATTTCCGGTTCGGATATTAGCTGTGTATAGTAACAAATAATCAGTACTAGTTTATTCAGGAACCTGCAAATTTTAGTTTCGTTCGCGTAGCTGTTAATTGTTCATGTTTAACCAAAACTTTCAGGTTTTTGCGTTCGCGTACGCAAAAAACTTGCAAAGTAGGGGAAATTGAGAGAGCAAAGTGACGTTTCACTTTGAGGGGAAGCTGCTGGTTTCTGCTAGAAAAAGGTGCAATCCCGTATTCCTCGGACTCGGACTAGAAAACTGTCAAAAAATAAAAATAAAAGTACGGGATCGCTTTCTAGTAAAAAATGGTAACTTCTGTCCACTTCAACATAACCTCCAAATTTTGGTTGTAAATTTTTGCTTATTTTGTATGTAAACACACACAGCTCACACATGTAAATAACCAAAAATACTTTCAAATTCATTAGAATTCACTTAAACAAGTAATTAAATACTTTTCAACATGAATTAGCAGAGTGCACTTTTCTTTGTTTACAATTTGGTTGCCAAACACACTACAGCTGATCGTTTGACACATTTACCAGAATTTACCAGCAAAAAATTCTCGGACTAAAACTGGTAACTTCTGACAGAGAGAGAACCGTATTTACTCTATTTTTTGTCCTCTCAATAGTCAGAGAACCGAGTACGGGATCGATTTCCAGTAAAATCTGACTGATTCTGACTATTTCTGACTTGTCCGGACTCGTACGGGATCGCAGCTAAAATTTTTGCCAACAGCAATTTGCCCACAGGAAAACAGCTGGTTTGAATTTACGCAAATCATAAAATTGAATTTGATGGTTTGGAATAGAGATGGGCACGGGCCGGACTTTTGGCAGGGGCCCGACGGGCCCCTCCGTAAGCCCCCGGGTACGGGCCGGAATATTTGCGGGCCTGGGCGTTCAGTAAAATTTCATAAAAGCACGAAAAGGCACGAAAAAGCCCGTTGCTAATACTAAAAATTTAGATGAGCTTTTGTTTTTATATAAAAAAAAATAGTACATATTTAAAACTCTTTTGATAAGAGAAAAGAAATATTTGGAAACCGATAGAAAATATATGATACTTAGTAGTTTTGTTAACATTCATATCTGTACATAAAATACCTTCCACTTTTTCTACTTCCCAGAAAAGATATTATAAAAATCTTTGATGTAAAATATTGATTCACACAAAATTAAAAATACATATGTACATATGCATATATACAATAAAAGTTGGCTCTTTATTTTCGGGCTGGGGCGTGTCCCGTCGTGCCGGGCCCCACTAAAGTTCTTAACGTGCGGGCTTGTGCGTGTTTTTGAAAGTTGATTTTGCACTCGTGCCGGGCCGGGCCTGAAACTTTAGGCCCGTTTCCATCTCTAGTTTGGAAGTTAAAAATGACAAAATGCGACTAATTAAACTTGTAAGAGGTAAGTATGTAGTTATTTGTTTAATCTATAAACAGTGTCAGGATACCACTTTATGATGAGTTTTCGTACGTTTTAATTTTTTCACCTTTGAATGTAAACAAAAATTATATCAGCTGGTCGTTTAACTCGCAAGTTTCTGCAAATTTTCTGTTCGCGTACTGTTTTCGACATTTTTTCCTTGTGAGAGAACTGGTGACATTTCGCCGGAATTTTGCTGTTGGTTGGTGTTTACTGGAGATTTAAACGAACGCTTCTTTTTACTGGGAAAGTGTCTAATAACCAGTGTTGCCACATATCAGCTTTTCCTCCCAAAACTGGTAGGTTTTAATTTCCATTTGTAGAATTGGGTAAGCATAAACAAAATAAAAATTAATTAATTAATCCCAACGGCTTCTTACCCTCCATTTCCGCCCAACCGACATGACGGGCGCAGTCCGCATGACGTACGGAACCTTTTTTTTTTAGTTTTTTGGTGCCGAGTAGTGGAAACTAACCCCCT